AAAAAAAAATTAAAAAAGTGAATTTTCCTAGACCAGATTCGAACCCGGGACCAGCGGTTGGAAGGGAAGGAGCATCTACACTGAGCCATCAGCGACTTCGTTTGTGCGTGTCGTATATCTGTTGCTTAACATACCATGTTTTTCGAAACATTTCATAAATCTAAGTAGCTTTTAAAACAAAACAAATTTGACTCAAACCTGTCAACATTATTGTTTGTGTGCATAGATTTCTCAGTGTTTTGATATTTTGTGTTAAATTGTGTTAAAAAACGAACTAAAAACAAAAAAAACTTCAACAAAAATATTTAGTAGTCGTGGATAAAGTATAGTATTCTACTCCCGTATAATGGGTATTATTCACTCGGTGATTTAGGCCACTCGCCTGCGGCTCGTGGCCGTAAACTTCACCTCGTGAATAATACCCATCATTATACGCTCGTTGAATAATATACTATTAATAAAACTTTGTTTGGCATTATGTAAAAATTACAATCGAATTTGTCGATAAAAGAACGCGTTGTTAATTATTACTTTACGCAAAAGCATCACCCTGTAATACAAATAATTGCCCACACATGCAAATCGAATCTCGCTCGTGGTTATATTTTATTCACATAATCTCTCTATATGGTTATGGAGAACCATTAGTACATAATTAATAACCACAGATATTCTCCTATATATCAGCCAATAAATAATATTTAATTTTTAGAAAACGGCGATATTTCGCGCATTTATTTGTGGAAAATATCTGTATTGTACGCTTTAATTTTTGCGGCTTTGAATAATTTACATCGATGATTTATTTACTGCGGAAATTCTAATTTTTTTTTAGCTGAAGGATAAAGAGAATAAAATATCAGAGACGTATTTAAAAATTGTTTTAGGTTTTCCAGAAAACTCGTTTATTTTGTGCGTTTCATTCCAACTGCAAATCCAGAACATAATTTACCGTTATAATTTTTACTCTGCACGAAGTCAGTGGACCCTGCAAAAACACTTTTACGTCTAACCCTTTCCGGGAGGCTGCACTTACTCCAACCTCCATTCACGACGGCCACAATACAGTTGGTCGGGGCGTGCAACCCCCATTGTTACAAGAAAATCTGAATGTGCCCATATATATAGCACGTATATATAAGGTAAAGCGATTTTAATATTACATGGTTCTGTTAATTTTAATGCTGCAGCGGCTTTAAAATATAATTTTCACTCATCTTTCCAATTTTTATAAATGTTTCCTTGTGACGTTTCCATAAATAAATAAGCACCCTAATATATCCCGGTAAATTATTATAGAGAGAAAAAGGAAAACGATAAACGGAAATATTCGGCATCCTTTGACACATATCACATCCATTATCATTTTATTTTTACGTGTCAGCTGCGAGTATGACTTTATCTTCCCCCAAATCTAGTATTCCGGGACGGAGAACAGCGAACAGTCGAGCATCGTCAGCCTTGTTGACACGCCGTCGTCGTCCTGGATGCGCGGAGGTTCAGGTTTTATTTGGTTTGTTTCCCTAATGAACTTTTTAACTAATGATCTTGCGCCTGTCACTTCTCGAACGGTCTGGAGCCTTACAATGTCATTTTTTTGGCGACTGCGAACACGAGTGGCTTGGGAAATATCAATATCTATAACAAATTAATAACTTATTTATTTATTTACAAATATAATGTCCACCGGAATGAAGGTCCAATTATAAGATAACGTGAAACAGAAAAGCGAAACCAAAATTAAAAATAATAAAAAAAAAACAATCATCAGAATTGCTACAAATAAAGATAAGAATAGTTCTACAATAATTGTTATTTAAAACGTTATTCTTTTGCGCCAAATAACACTCGTAAATCAATTTGTTACGTGAGAAAATGGACTTATCGCTATGATGGCAAGAAAGGGTGTGGATACAGGAAGTTTGCAAAGAAGTAGAGCTGCATAGTAAAATAATCTGCTGTTCTTCCGTTGTTAGTGTTCTTTAGTAACTCTCATTTACCAATTATTACAACCTTGTTAGTAGTTCTGGATTGTTTTCAAAACAAATAATTTTAGAGTCGATCGTAGTGCCGCCGATAAAGTTACGCGAACTTGTTGCTTTTTGCGAGGGTAATATAACTCCTCAATAAATAAGATGACGAAGTCATAAAACCGTGTTAGTTTTAATGAGTTCAATATTTATAATACGGAATTTTCATCTTTTCCGCATTATATGATGATGTGAGGTATTTTCTAAAAGAAAGAGGTGTTTATTTTATGATTCTCATTATAAATTTATCTCGAAACCCCCAAAACTCTTGAACTTTAACGATGTGAGCTCGATATTTTACTGGGGTGTTAAACCAGATTGCAACTTGGCTCGTTTATCCCCAGATTCCAGTCAGCCAGGCTAGAAGCTAGAACTCAGACGTCTTTTACTTTTTACGATGGACCTGTTCCATCAACGGTCGCTCGCTTAACTTTACAATAGAGTATATTTTACAAACACAAAAAGAAAGTGAAAAAAAAATTATTCAAAAACAATTGTACCATATTTCTGTGTTTATTTTTAATTCAACACCACCCAATATGTAAATTTTACATATTTGGATAAAGGCGTTCTACTATAACAGTAATATAAAGTTTGTCAATAGAATGTCTTAAAAGTAATGAGTTATACGAAAAACTTGGTTCCCAAACAATTATGAACATACTAATGAAACATTTTAATAAAATATGTGCTAGAGTTACGCATAAGAAGCTGTATTTACTAATAGTATTTGGTATGTTAGACTTTTGGCACATTTTGTTGTTTATTTTATCCTTTTTAATAGATTTTCAACGATAGAACATCAAAAAAATCTGAGAATTTTTCTTATAGACAACCTTCCTCAGTGACATTTCTTCATCCAGCTTTTTTGAGATTACGTTTTTTTTTAAGTATGTCGTTTATTACAATGTAAAATATTATTTTACATAGCAAAGGTACTCTTGTTAAAATCGCGCTGTTTTGAGAAAAGCGTAATTGTCCGCCCCAAAATTAATCAACTCCATATACTATACAAGGTATCCAGAAATAAATGAGCCACACTTCAAAATTGATGAAAATAAACCGATTTAGATCATGTTAAGTTAGTACAAACTTGCTTTATTAAAAAATAATAGTATTAGTTGAACTGAATAAAAAACAAAAAAAAATTGGAATAATAACTTTTAAAATAAATAAATAACCTTTCTTTTCTTTAGAGACTTTATTATGAAATATGGGAATAGTCAATAAAAGAAAAAATAAAAAGAGAAAAACCATAAATTCTTATACTAAAAGAATTCAGTAACGTTATATACACGAGATTCTCAATCATTTTTATTTCCCGAGACAAGTTATTAAATAGCCTGGATCCAAACACAAGTAGTTAAAGTTAAAGTAAAACAAAGCTTAGACGTTTGAATGAATTAAAAGTTGCTTTAGCTTTCGCAGTTTTAATGTTTTCTTTCATATACTGATTATATTTTTAATGTTGTCCATTCTAGTTTAAGTTTACTTTCTCGTATTTATTTGATTTACGCTCTTATTACGGCGGCTATTTAAAGAATTTCATTTCAAACGGACCTAGGAAAACTTAAAATCGCGTGGCTAATAACACCATTTCTGATAATTACCGGTAATTGCCGACCGCTGGCGGAAAATCGTCCGCCTAATCGGCTCACATCCTCCCGTCCCATAAAGTAAATGGTGGATGCTTCGTTATAATACCATATTACGATGAGCGATATTAATGGAGCCACGAGATCCCTTACTTATAAATAACTATGACTTATTTCAGTCCAAGAGGAGGGTCACGATAAGAAAATTGGACATGTGCAAGGGAAAGGAGAACCTCCCGTTACAGTGGTCCAACGCCTCCGTCAGCTATAATGAAGATATCAAGGAAACCGTGTTCGGACTCAACCTGAAGGTGCTCAAGGAAGTCAGTAATAATTTTTCGGTAAGTAATTGTGAGGGATGGTGCCCAACGCGTTGTGTAAGTCAGGATGTGGGGAAATAACAAGAATGAAATGTACGAATTTTCGCAAGTATTGGGAAGGTACACCTACTCCAAAATATAAACGCCTTTCCCAATATGGGTTCCTACTTTTCTATATTTGCGTAGATATTAAACAGCCGGCTTTCTGCGCAATTAAAAAAAAAACGTAAAATAGGTCTTAAACAGTGAACTACAATTTTGACGCTTGTATATACAAAAAATTAATTCAAATACTGTTAATATCGAAGTTTCACATACTCTTCAGCAATTTACTTAGCTCAGTATTTATTTATAATATTGTTATTTTTATGTAATTAAAATATTATGTTGCATTAATACTCGACGAATAAATCTGATCATGTGGTCTGTTAGACTGCTAGTTGTTCTCTACACATGCGCGCTAACACCACACCTGATTAATCTTATTGGTTGCGACAAAGAAGTTCTTTTATTCAGTTTCATTCGTATATTTAAATATACTATAGACACATAACAGATCACACTCTTTTAGGTGTGGTAAGTTGTACATTACGGCATGTGATTTTTCAAAGACTGTAACTTTTTTTTTTTTCGTACGATTTTTTCTCATTGAGATCGGCTGTTGAGTGAAAAGTCACCTTTATTTTTTTTATCATCGCTATCTCATGAACTAATAGTCGTAAAGCGAACGGAAAGTGAGTTTTAGAAATCTGAATCAATCTTCTTCAAAGGCCTTTTGGTATGTCTGAGAAAAAAAATTATACTCAGCATTAGTTTCAAAAAGTACAAAAGATGACTTTCTGTTGTTTTGGAAAATCAACGACTCCTTTGCAGATGTTGCGAGACTAATGTTTGTGGGTCTTTTCTTAGCTCATTACACACCCATGCGACCTATAAATTTTGAAATCGATCGGTCGAAATGTTTTCCTTTCCTGAATCATCAGTTTTATAAAAAATTAAACATCGATGAAACAAATTTTTTCCGTTATTTTTCTCACACTTTCGCATTAAATACGCATCAAATAGCGAAAAAAAAATTCATAATTTTGAAAAACTATCAATTTTCAAAATTTTCTCTTTACATGTTTTTTTCTCGAGATTTGAAATATTCAATATAAAATTGTAAAAGAGGACGCAATTTTTTTTTTAATTTTGAAATATTCTTTTTTTCAAATTGCATTTTTTTTCAATATTTGATGAGTAATCGATCGATTTCAAAATCTACAGGCCTCATAGGCATGTATTGGGCTAAAAAAAATCTACAAACATTGGTACTTTTTGCAATATTTGCAAAGTAGTCGTTAATTTTCCAAAACAGCAGAAAAAAGCCATTGTCACTTTTTCAAATTAATGCCGAGTCCTATATAAAAAAAATCTCAAACATACCAAAAGGCTCTTGAAGAGTATTGATTCACGTTTGTAAAACCTATCTTCCGTTCGCTGTACGATCATTAGATCATGAGATATCAATGACTAAATAAAAATGACATTTCACTCAATAGCCGATATCTCTATGAGAAATAATCGTACAGAAAATAAAAAACAACTAAATTGAAGCTGATGAATCAAACTAAATGACCCTGATATTGATTAAGCCAGAAAAAAAATTCTGAGCCCATGTGCAGTTTGGAAAAAAAATTGTAAAATGTTTGCCTTGTGTTATTTCTTTTGATTGCGTCGATAGTGATGTTCAAAAAAATTTTTCATCTCAAGATTACTAAACTGGAATCTTCAATCTTTAAGATGCTTCTTTTTTCTTCTCGATACGACCATTATTCACGAAGTTACAGCCTTTCAAAAGTCACTAAAAAAATTTGGAAATTTTTCTGTTCTTTTAATTATTTTTGCTGAGTGTATACAGTCAAATTGGTCAAATTCTACACAGCGTATTGTGTATATTCAAATCATTTATATTAAACCATTGCAAATATATAAAAAGATCAAGTAATTTTAACAATTTTTATCTATGTATGTAAAAATTCCAATTTATAATTATTATATTTTTTTATCATTGGTAAATTTATTAATTATTAGGATGTTTTTTTAAGGAAAAATTATATTGTGAACGATTACATAATAGTAATGACTTCTTATCTACGAACTATTTTGAATGTGACGTAAAATTTGGGCTGGACTTACCTTAGATAAATCTATCGTATTTTTAAAAGCTACGAGAGGTTTATTAGTTCAGACAAAGCAACAATGCGATCAGTATTCGTTAGAACACTAGATGCCGTTTGTGTATACTTAGCACTTAGCTGATATATTTTGCAGCGATAGCTAATTATATTATAATATATCTGTCTCTGTGATTTGTCAGTTTAATTTTCCCTCTGTTCGACGCAATTATGTCATTTAGGATTAATACCGTCAACCAGCATAAATCACCATAAGTTTATGCCGATTCTATATAGAGATATTATTGTTTGTAACAAACATTTCATGGAAATTATTGAATTAAACCGTGTACGACACGGTCGGCAAAACATTATGATTAAATTTTACTAATATCGCGGATAATTCGAGCGCGGCGGGGTTCATTTCGACCATTAATATAGCCCATCAATCGGTAATTAGCTTATCAATCAAAACAAACATTTGCTAAATTAAGTACTGTGGAGGAAGCGTCGAATACTCCTGATTTGCCACTTCATGCTATTTATCAAAACAGTTCGCATTGGCATACTTCGCCGTGCAGATCCACGTACGTCAGTGGCACATGTTAGGAAACATATTTCGAGTAATTAACAGTACGATTCACATACATATTTACATCTGTGAACATTTACCAAGAATATTAAAAAAAACGTCTTTCCTCTCAGTTTGAAAGGCACGTGAGAGTCCTGTGATGTCGTATTACTACAATAATGGAAAACTTTTCTATCCGTAATAACCACATTATTTCAGTCTTTTCACTTAGATGACGAACGCCATTAACGCAGTGAGTGACGTAATGAGATGCGATATTATTTTCACTGAGAACTGTAACGAGCTGTTCTAATGAAAGTAGGTGCAGAACTATATTGTTCATTTAGGATTTAATAATAGCGAGAGAAACTTACAACTGACGAACTTAGTAAATAAAACTGTTGTATTTCCGTTTGGAGAATCCGTGATTAGAAGGTGTAATTTTTATCTAATACTTATAGGTTTAGGTTGCGTAATGTTTGTGTATATTTCTATTTAAAATTTAACGTAGAGATAGGACGCGACGATATTTTTTACCTTAAAAAAAAGTATTCAAGAAATACTCGTTATATCTATCTTAGGAAAAAGGATATTACCTCGGGTATTGCCATCTTATTTATGTAAATTTGGTATTTACTTATTCAACAAACACTAACAGTTTTAATATATTTAAACAGCCCAGTTGTTTATTATTATAATTTATTATACTATAATGAAAATATGTAATTAAAAATTAGGTATTTCATTTTTTCAATATACATATAAGCCTTGACATGAACGTTTCACTAGTGTGATCTCCGTATCTCAGAGTGTTAATAATTCGTTATAATTTCGAAGTTTTAGAAGAAACTTTTAACAGCGTTGAGGTCTGTAATAAGGACGAAACAATGTTGCCAGAGCTAGGATGTTCAACTTATATCTAGGCTAGTACTAATGATTGTCGAAAATATGTACCTCGTTTTTTTTGCCAAAATTTAGTTCAGTAAACAAAGACACGTAAAAATTAGGAAAAATTCAGTAGATTTGAATGAATTACTTTACCCCAGTTGAATATTAGGGCTTCTTTTGCAAAATGGCGTCCAAATTTCGCAAAAAACAGTTTTTTCATTTTAAAAAAAACTAAACATTTTAGGAAAAAATGTTTTTGACAAAAGTTATAAAACTTTCTATAGCAAACATTTTGAGCGCGATGTCAATTGATAAACAAATGTATTAGTTATTGCAAAAAAACGGCTAAAAATCACATTTTTTTAAAACTTCTATATCTTTAAAACGAAAAAAGATTTTTTTACGAAACTTTCGGGATATGTAGTCCTTCGCAAGTAGAAAAGTGCATTTTTGTAAAATTGTAAAATATTTGATAGTTTTTGCAAAAACTGAGTTTTTCGAAAAAAGACATCTTCAAGTTTCAATAAATCATATATTAATGCACTTATGTGACCCACCTAGCGCTTAAAATTTTCTCTAAGTGTTCTCTTTCCTGTGCAAATTGTGTGCGTATTACAAAATTATTGGAAATATGCGAAAAATCTACCGAAACTTTCTTTTTTTGGGTCGAAAAATGTAGATCTTTTTCCGTTGAAATATAATCGAAATAGCAAAACATCATTAGGACATGTTCTACAACCAACAGGAACCGAGAAAAAAAATTTTTTTTCAAATAATCGGTACGACCTCATTTATTAAAGACAAATTTCAAAAAACTCAATTTTTGCAAAAACTGCAATATTTTGTAATTTTACAAAAATGCCCTTATTCTACTTGCCAAGGACTACATATTCTGAATGTTTCGTAAAAAAATCCATTTTCGTTTTACAGATATAGGAGTTTTAAAAAAATGCGATTTTTAGCCATTTTTGCAATAACTAATACTTTTATTTATCAATTGACATTGGGCTGGGCTTTAAATTTTTGTTCTAAAAAAATTCTACAGCTGTTATCCAAAATATTTTTTTCTAAAACGGTTTTTTTCGATCACCAATCAGAATCATGGGAGATTTTTTGATACTTTGAGTCATTTCCGAGGTACAAGCAAATACTGTTCTTTTTTTTCATTCATATATTGTGACACCCCGCTCTGCGTCACCCACCGAGTGCTCTATACAGAACCAAGGGGAGATTTGTTTATATTTCCAGCCATTTCCGAGTTACGAGCAAAAACCGTTTTTGTTGTGACCTCATAGCTCGTTAACGAAGGCTAAAAAGGCCACACGTNCTAAAAATAATTTATATCACTTCCATATTTACAAACTCGAATCTATTAAAATATTGAAAATTTTTCAGCAATCACTCTT